TAGATATTATGATATAAATTTTGCATATTAATTTCTGACCCGATGAACAAATGTAATAAAATGCCAATTTGCTCCTGTTTTTGGTAAAGAATCTATTATTACCATATGTTTTTCTATGGCATATACTCAGGCAATTTTAATTTTACAATCTATATTTTTACCCATTTACATCAAAGAAATTTTAAAAATAACGATTATGACAATTGTCACTTTTCTATACTACATCTTCACTAAATTTTTATTTAAACATGTTATTAATACTTATTTTAACATATTTTCTTCAAAAAAATTCAAAAAACTTTAAAAATAACGATTATGACAATTGTCAATTTTCTATGGTACATCTTCACTAAATTTTTATTTAAACATGTTATTAATACTTATTTTAAAATATTTTCGTCAAAAAAATTCAAAAAACTTTAATAATAACGATTATGACAATTGTCACTTTTCATTGTCTTCACTAAATTTTTATTTAAACATGTTTTTAATACTTATTTTAACATATTTTCTTCAAAAAAATTCCAAAAACTTATAAAATAACGATTATGATAATTGTCACTTTTCTATGGTACATCTTCACCAAATTTTTATTTAAACATGTTTTTACTTATTTTAACATATTTTCTTCAAAAAAATTCAAAAATAACGATTATGACAAATGTCACTTTTCATTGGTACATCTTCACTAAATTTATATTTACACATATACTTATTTTTATTTTCTTCAAAAAAATTCAAAAAACTTATAAAATAACGATTATGATAAATGTCACTTTTCATTGGTACATCTTCACTAAATTTATATTTACACATGTTATTAATACTTATTTTAACCTATTTTCTTCAAAAAACTTTAAAAATAACGATTATGACAATTGTCACTTTTCATTGTCTTCACTAAATTTATATTTACACATGTTTTTAATACTTATTTTAAACATATTTTCTTCAAAAAAATTCAAAAAACTTTAAAAATAACGATTATGACAATTGTCAATTTTCTATGGTACATCTTCACTAAATTTTTATTTAAACATGTTATTAATACTTATTTTAACATATTGTCGTCAAAAAAATTCAAAAAACTTTAAAAATATATGGTACATCTTCACCAAATTTTTATTTAAACATGTTTTTACTTATTTTAACATATTTTCTTCAAAAAAATTCAAAAAACTTTAAAAATAACGATTATGACAAATGTCACTTTTCATTGGTACATCTTCACTAAATTTATATTTACACATATACTTATTTTTATTTTCTTCAAAAAAATTCAAAAAACTTATAAAATAACGATTATGATAAATGTCACTTTTCATTGGTACATCTTCACTAAATTTATATTTACACATGTTATTAATACTTATTTTAACCTATTTTCTTCAAAAAACTTTAAAAATAACGATTATGACAATTGTCACTTTTCATTGTCTTCACTAAATTTATATTTACACATGTTTTTAATACTTATTTTAAACATATTTTCTTCAAAAAAATTCAAAAAACTTTAAAAATAACGATTATGACAATTGTCAATTTTCTATGGTACATCTTCACTAAATTTTTATTTAAACATGTTATTAATACTTATTTTAACATATTGTCGTCAAAAAAATTCAAAAAACTTTAAAAATATATGGTACATCTTCACCAAATTTTTATTTAAACATGTTTTTACTTGTTTTAACATATTTTCTTCAAAAAACTTTAAAAATAACGATTATGACAAATGTCACTTTTCATTGGTACATCTTCACTAAATTTATATTTACACATATACTTATTTTTATTTTCTTCAAAAAAATTCAAAAAACTTATAAAATAACGATTATGATAAATGTCACTTTTCATTGGTACATCTTCACTAAATTTATAATTACACATGTTATTAATACTTATTTTAACCTATTTTCCTCAAAAAACTTTAAAAATAACGATTATGACAATTGTCACTTTTCATTGTCTTCACTAAATTTATATTTACACATGTTTTTAATACTTATTTTAAACATATTTTCTTCAAAAAAATTCAAAAAACTTTAAAAATAACGATTATGACAATTGTCAATTTTCTATGGTACATCTTCACTAAATTTTTATTTAAACATGTTATTAATACTTATTTTAACATATTGTCGTCAAAAAACTTTAAAAATTGCGATTATGACATTTGTCACTTTTCTTTGGTACATCTTCACTAAATTTATATTTACACATGTTATTAATACTTATTTTAACCTATTTTCTTCAAAAAAATTTATAAAATAACGATTATGACAATTGTCACATTAAAATATTATCCTTAAAAAGATCATATAAAATCATCAAAAAAGTTTCATAAAATCCACCTCATTTAATAAAAAATAGATAATTTAAAAAAAATTATAAAAGATTTCTAAAAGATTGTTTATTTATCTAATAAAATTTACAATATAATTCCTCAATAAAAGATGTATTTATAAAGAAGATTGTGAAAATCACTAATAAATTATATTATAAAGAATATTACAATTTTACAATATAGCAGCATATTATTTTTTTTATTAAAATAACATCAAATAAATAAATTTATTTTTCATTTCAAAATATAATAAAATAAATAAAATAAATTATTTTACTAAAATAAATAAATAATAATTAATACTAAGCATCGATGCAGAATTTTGACTAATTTAATTTTAGCAGATTTATATAGGCTTAACCTAATTAGGCTTAGCCGATTTTTAGTTTTAGCCTATTTTTAGGCTTAACCTAATTAGGCTTAGCCGATTTTTAGTTTTAGCCGATTTTTAGGCTTACCTAATTAGGCTTAGCCGATTTTTATTTTTAGGCTTAGCCTAATATGCTTAGCCGATTTTTAGGCTTAGCCTAATAGGCTTAGCCTTATTAGGATTAGGCGTAGTTTTTAGCCGATTACGCAACACTAGATTTAATGATGATTCGATGAAATTTTTACATCAAACATCATTTTTTTACGCCAAATAATGTGGCAGAAAAATCAATTATTAAAGAAGATATCGAGGATATCTGTGAATTTTACAATTTAAATTCAAGTCAAATTTTCGAAGTATTGAAGTTTAGAAATATTTATAAGATGGCCAAAATAGGGAATGTAATTATTACTCATAACCTAGAGGTTCAAGAATCTAAAGATTTGTCAGATTCTGTTAATTGTAAATTTATTTAATTAAAATATTTTTACCTATACATTATTTAGCTTCTTCTGATGATGATGATAAATCAGGGACTTACGATTCAGATTGGAAAAACTATTCATTTATTTTACATTGTCGTCTACTTTAAAATTTTTCTGCTTTCCCTAATTTAAGAATTTTATATAAATATTTATTAACTATTCCTACAACCTCATGTACTGCCGAAAAAGTCATGAGTAAAATTAAATTAATTAAAACAAAACTTCATAGTACCATGAAAGATTCATTTCTCAATAATTTAACCATATTATCAATGGAAAAAAATTTATTTAAACAATTAAATATTGATGAAATTATAAATTCTTTCGCATTCTCTTTCCCTAATTTATCTAAATTACTAATTTAAAAATAATATTTATAAAGTATATATTTTTTGCATTTTATTTATATATATATTAAAAATTGATGCAAAAAAAATATTTTTGAAATTTATGGGTGTCATAAAATAATTATCATATTTTCGAGGGGGGGGGGGGTATTCTGCTTCATTCGCTCAGAAAGTGTAGGGGCCACTGGATGGCATTAATTAGTTGAATACATATTGTAACTTATATTTATTATCAAAAGCATTGATTAGTAAAATTTTAAAAATATTAACTGTAATATATTATATAACTGTCAAATACGTCTGCAAAAGTAGCATTTTACCTAATATTTTATAAATAATTATATATAATAGAGGATTATAAACTATAGGTCTACTAACTTTTTATAAATAAATCTCTTATACTTATTTGGATTTGGACCTTGAAAATAATTTTAGAAAGAGACATGTTAATTAAATTTAAAAATCAATAATATAGTATTGATTAGTGATGTTAAACTCGGCTAATTATAATTAAATTTGTTAATTTTCAATTAATAAATGATTATATTAATTTAATTAGGGTTATATAATAATTTAAACAATAAAAGTCAATTAAGATTCAACTTTTAATGCTGTTAATATTTATTGAGTGATATTGATATATTTTTAACACAGAATTTAATCGCAAGCTGACATAGTGAAAATATCATTTGTATATATTAATCTAATCTAATAATTAAAATAGTATTCATTTAATAAAAATAGATAGTCTTATTAATTTTTAAATAATAAAATTAAATCTATATACTACTCAATAGAATTATAAAAGAAATTGTTCAGGGAGCAATTAAAAAAATATTTTAGTTCAAGGGGTTATTAAAGAGTCATTAAAAAAAAATTTTGCTTCAGGGGGCTCGAGCTTCTGCTCGCCCACCTTAGCGAAGCCACTGATATAAGGCATTATTATTTGAACGCTCTGAAGACATTTATAAAATTATAGTAATCTTCTGTTTGTCTTGCACCTTTCTGATTACTGATCTAACTCAAAAAAATTTCACTATTTCCTAATTTTATATAAAAAAAATTAACTGCTTTCACATTTAAAAATAACCTCTAGAACCTCAAACATATTTAAGTATGATGCAAAAAAAGTACTTAAAATGACGTTCAATTCAATTATATATAGTGTAAATTAATAAGTTCTCTCACGATTTTCAACCGGCGATTATGAATTTATATAACCCAAAATGAACTTAGTTTCGATAAATGACATATAATACTTAGCTAGATTGACGTTTCATTTAGTTAAATGTTTCAGCGTCGTTTAAATCAGCTGATGACATCATTTCTGGTTTCTCATTTAACAATCTTAATATTAATAAAACTGTAATTTTTTATATAAAATTTCAGTTTAGTTAGTATTGCCATTGATTGCGGTATACATTAAATCCCGTATTTGCTACCTTTTACAGGACACGGTTAATGCCATGAACCAAATGGCATCTGACATTTTCTCGTCCGATACCTCTACCACTCTCATGGATGGTGCCCGAGCTGAGGCCGGAGAGGCGGAGGCTGAAAGTCGGCGATTTACCGAACAGTTCGAATCCCTAAAACGAGCCTCCATCGAGCGGAGAGCACAGCTAGAGGAGGCGGATGCCGTTCACAACTTTCTTCGGGACGTGGACCACGAGGAAGCCTGGATCGAGTACTATCACAATTTGACTTATATTTACTCTTAAAATGTACATTATTTTAGGGCTCTGTTTATATACAAATTTTCCACCGATATATTATCCGATATTCATACAAAACTGATTAAAACCAATGTCATAAAAAATTAATATTTTCATGTAAAAATATAACTAACTGTAATCTATGAACAGCACAAGTAACACCTTGAAATTTTTCCTTTCTCGTGACCAGGCGATATTTAGTGCACTATCACGAATGATTACCTTAAGTGTATTTTTTATTACCCAAAAGGTGATCAGCTCATTTATGTGATGTTAAATGTTTGTGGCTGATTATGACTCATCAAATATTTTAAAATACTTTTCTTATCGCAAAAACATAAATATTACATTTTAAAATAATTCATTATTTTTTTAAAACATTACAATAACAAATAATTGAATTTTAGTTCTTTTTATTCATTTTCTGTTATCGGGAAATTATGTGTGAAATAACCAAAAACAATGATATAATTCGAAACGTTTTTATTGAACATATCGTCCCGATCCCACAAACAGCAAATATTGGCCCAGATCCGATGTAATATTTAATATCGGCACAATCCTACATCATATAAGTATAGCCCACTATGACCATCTCTATAAGGATAAGTTTAACCGGAAAGCTACTCCCTAGATTAAGCTATACCCAAAACGAATGATTCGATTCGTATTTTACGAATACGAATAACAAAATTATTTGATTTGAAAATTTGAATCCAATACTAGTAGTGTTTCGTAATCGGCTAAAAACTACGCCTAAGCCTAATAAGGCTAAGCCTAAAAATTGGCTAAAATAAATTAGTCAAAAATTCTACTATTTATTTATTTTAGTAAAATAATTTATTTTATTTATATTTAATGTAAATATTTTATTATTATCAACAAATAAACATGATATGATTTAATATTTTTTATTTATATTGTTATATTTTGAAATGAAAATAATTTATTTATTTGATGTTCTTTTAATAAAAAAAATAATATGCTGCTATTGTAAAAATGTAATATTCTTTTTAATATAATTTATTAGTGATTTTCACAATCTTCTTTGTAAATACATCTTTTATTGAGAGATTATATTGTAAATTTTAATAGATAAAAAAACAATCTTTTAGGTGAAATCTTTTATAATATTTTTTTTATCAATTTTGTAAAATTATCTATTTTTTTTTATTAAATGAGGTGTTTTTTTTAAATAATTTTTTAAAAATATTTATATTAAACCTTTTTGATGTTATTTTATATGATCTATTTAAGGATAATATAATGTGACAATTGTCATAATTGTTATTTTTAAAGTTTTTTGAATTTTTTTGACGAATATATGTTAAAATAAGTATTGATAACATATTTAATAAAATTTAGTAAAGATATACCGTAGAAAAGTGACAATTGTCATAATCGTTATTTTTAAAGTTTTTGAATTTTTTTGACGAAAATAGATTAAAATAAGTATTGATAACTGAAGAGAAAAGGAAAAATATATATTTTTTATTATTAAAAAATGTTCATCCATTTACTATATATATATTTTTACAAAAAAATAATATTTGACTAAAAATAAAAATACGATCTTAAAATAAACTAAAATTTCAGTTACGACTAAAATAAAGTTTACCATTTGAAAACTAAAATAAAGGTTACAAATTGTAAAACTAATTATATTATCCAAAAATGTTACAATTTGTAAAACTAAAATTATATTATTCGACATTCTCCTTCTTCTAAAGAAGCCTTTACATAAGTTTAATTGTATTGTCATAGTTAGTTTGTTGTCCAAATGTTTTAACGTTTTGACCATCAAGTTGTTTCATAAGTCATAGTAATCGTTGGCTTGTCCCAATCGTTGGTTTGTTTAAATCGTAAGCTTGATATCCTTATCGTAAGTTGTCCTTATAAATCGTGAATTTGTCATATAGCTTGCTTGTAATGCTCAGTCGTTATTATTATCAATTTTCAAAATTGTTATTAGCATCAGTAAGTTGCGAATAATGAGAAGTTGGATATAAGAATAAATGAAGAATGATAAATCAAATAAGATTGTTATATAATATTTTCAGCGTTTTCATGTTTTGCGTTTTAGTATAAGCGTTTTAATATTTAATTTACTTTATTATATTTTAAGTTATGTAGTCTTTTAGCAGGTTTTTGTTAAATTCGCACTGGTCTAGAAATAGGGTTATATCATTTTTATCAGTAATTTTTATATTTTTGTCCACACTTCCCTCCTTAAAAGAATCCTTAGAGTCATAATTAATATTAAAAGAGTTTTTAATTCTTAATTGATCTAAATGTCTCCTCAAAATACCATTCTCTGTCTTAATTTGGAACATCATGTCACTTTCTTTGTGTGTGACCATGCCTTTGCACCATTTTTCAACACCTTGTACTTTGTACCAAACAAAATCTCCTACGTTAAAGGTTCTATTTCGTGGTAAAGTATCGTTTATTTTGTTCTCCTTCTCCTCCGACGGTTTTAATAAGTCCCATATAATTCTAATATTTCGATTGAACATTCTCTGAGATGGTGTAACTCTTGTAGTATAATTACGCGTATTTCTGTAATTAAATAAAAATTTGTCAAGTGCGATGTCTAAGTCAATTTTGATATTCCTTTTCATATGTGTTTTGAACGTTCTACCATGCGTTCTACCTGGCCATTGGATTGCTGGTGATAAGCAGATGTGAGCACATGTTTGATACCAGTTTTACAAATTGTAACATTTTTGAATAATATAATTTTAGTTTTAATTTGTAACCTTTATTTTAGTTTTCAAATGGTAACCTTTATTTTAGTCGTAACTGATATTTTAGTTTATTTTAAGATTGTATTTTTATTTTAGTCAAATATTATTTTTTGTAAAAATATATATATAGTAAATGGATGAACATTTTTTAATAATAAAAAATATATATTTTTCGTTTTCTCTTCATGTTGGCTGGGTGTGAGGTTGGCAAAAAAAACTCGCCACCATGCAATTTTTTTTTTTAATTTTTAAAAAATTTTTTTTTGTCCTCTTCCATATATTTTTATGGTGAGATGTTAGATGTAAAAATATGAATAATAAAAAAAACGAAACAAATAAAAGGTAAAATTTATTTTAAAATTATTCTCACTATGTTTTCCTTCAAACTTATTAATATACCTTGGGATATATCAATTTACGATATACTTTATGAATTGACTTACGATTGTGACATACATTATTCAAGAGAACCCGGCATTGATGATGTTATTTTTGAATTTGTTAATCTCAAGGAAATGATTAAATATTTTGAACAACTTAATGGAAAATTTTACGTTTATAACGATTCGGAGTTTATTCAACTCCGGTGTATTTTTATAAAAATATAAAGTGTCATTATTATTACTTATATGAAATATTATAAAAATCATTAATAAATAATGGAAACTAAACCAGAATTAATATTCAAAATTCCAAAATTGGTTAGACCACTCACTGAGATTTACTTAGAGTGTAAGTTATTTTTCGACCATCACATTACCAGACTCTATTAAAATAAATACTTTACTTAATAATTTATCTGATGTTGTGTTTGATAATCTTAAATCAATTTGCTCTGATACCGATGATCTTAAGATAGTGATTAAGAAATTAACTTACCTTTTACCTGTACAAGGTAAAAAAAATTTAATAAACAAATTCAACTTATTACAGCAGAATTCGAGTGAGAATTTCATGCAATGGTACATAAGAGTATCAAAACTGCATAAAAAATGTAACTTTTCAGACGACATAGATTAAAAGAAAAATAAAGCACGTCTACCTTAAATGACAAAATAAAATATAAATTTTGTAAAAATATTAATTTAACCTTAAATGAAATGGTGGAGCTAGGAATTAGATTAGATAGTATTAATGATAAATCAGATATTGATAATATAAGTTATGTGAATAATGATAAAAAGTCTGATAAAGATAAAAACCTTAACAATAGAAATAGAAATGACAATAATAATTATTTTAGAACTGATAATAATTTTAGAAATAATTATTATAATAGTGATAATAATAGGAATAGAGACAGGAATTATAACAATAATTTTAGATACTATGATAGGAATTACAGTAATAATAATATCAAGATACCAAAATAATTGTAATAACTACAACAACTATCGCTACAACAACTATCGCTACAACAACTATCGCTACAACAATAATATTCAATCTAATTATGGTAGAAATAATACATGGCATGATAATAATCAAAGAAAACAGATCCAATATGGTGATGGAAATCGTAACATTTACCAATCTTATAACAAGAATTCAAATTATTATAGAGGTAGCGACAATAATCAGAGAAAGCAAATACAATATAACAACAATTCAAATAATTATAGAGGTAGCGACAACAGGATTTTAGTCCGTACTTTATATATTCAGGGCCGGCTCATCCTGGATTTTTTTAATGTTGTTTTATGTTAAATATGTTATCAATACTTATTTTAGCCTCTACTTCAAAAAACTATAAAAACAACGATTATGACAATTGTCACTTTTCTACGGTACATCTTCACTAAATTTATTTTAAACATGTTATCAATACTTATTTAAACATATTGTCGTCAAAAAACTTTAAAAATAACGATTATGACAATTGTCACTTTTCTATGGTACATCTTCACTTAAACATGTTATCAATACTTATAATAATCTATTTTCGTCAAAAAAACTATAAAAATAACGATTATGACCATTGTCACTTTTCTACGGTACATCTTCACTATATTTTTATTTAAACATGTTATCAATACTTAATTTAATCTATTTTCGTCAAAAAAATACAAAAAACTTTAAAAATAACGATTATGACAATTGTCGCTTATCTAGAGTACATCTTCACTAAATTTTTATTTAAACATGTTATCAATACTTATTTTAAAATATCTTTGTCAATAAAATTCAAAAAACTTAAAAATAACGATTATGACAATTGTCACTTTTCTATGGTACATCTTCACTAAATTTATATTTACACATGTTATTAATACTTATTTTAACATATTTTCTTCAAAAAAATTCAAAAAACTTATAAAATAACGATTATGACAATTGTCACTTTTCTATGGTACATCTTCACTAAATTTTTATTTAAACATGTTTTTAATACTTATTTTAACATATTTTCTTCAAAAAACTTATAAAATAACGATTATGACAATTGTCGCTTATCTAGAGTACATCATCACTAAATTTTTATTTAAACATGTTATCAATACTTATTTTAAAATATCTTTGTCAATAAAATTCAAAAAACTTTAAAAATAACGATTATGACAATTGTCACTTTTCATTGGTACATCTTCACTAAATTTATATTTACACATGTTATTAATACTTATTTTAACATATTTTCGTCAAAAAAATTCAAAAAACTTTAAAAATAACGATTATGACAATTGTCACTTTTCTTTGGTACATCTTCACTAAATTTATATTTACACATGTTATTAATACTTATTTTAACAAATTTTCGTCAAAAAAATTCAAAAAACTTTAAAATTAACCATTATGACAATTGTCACTTTTCATTGGTACATCTTCACTAAATTTTATTTACACATGTTATTAATATTTATTTTAACATATTGTCTTCAAAAAACTTTAAAAATAACGATTATGACAATGTCAATTTTCTATGGTACATCTTCACTAAATTTTATTTAAATATGTTATCAATACTTATTTTAACATATTTTCTTCATAAAAATTTAAAAAACTTATAAAATAACGATTATGACAATTGTCACTTTTCTATGGTACATCATCACTAAATTTTTATTTAAACATGTTTTTAATACTTATTTTAACATATTTTCTTCAAAAAACTTATAAAATAACGATTATGACAATTGTCACTTTTCTATGGTACATTTTCACTAAATTTTTATTTAAACATGTTTTTAATACTTATTTTAACATATTTTCTTCAAAAAAATTCAAAAAATTATAAAATAACGATTATGACAATTGTCACTTTTCTATGGTACATTTTCACTAAATTTTTATTTAAACATCTTATTAATACTTATTTTAACATATTTTCTTCAAAAAAATTCAAAAAACTTATAAAATAACGATTATGACAATTGTCACTTTTCTATGGTACATCTTCACTAAATTTTTATTTAAACATCTTTACTTATTTTAACATATTGTCGTCAAAAAAATTCAAAAAACTTTAAAAATAACGATTATGACAATTGTCACTTTTCATTGGTACATCTTCACTAAATTTATATTTACACATGTTATTAATACTTATTTTAACCTATTTTCTTCAAAAAATTCAAAAAACTTATAAAATAACGATTATGACAATTGTCACATTAAAATATTATCCTTAAAAAGATCATATAAAATCATCAAAAAAGTTTCATAAAATCCACCTCATTTAATAAAAAATAGATAATTTTAAAAAAATGATAAAAAAATTATAAAAGATTTCACCTAAAAGATTGTTTATTTATCTAATAAAATTTACAATATAATTCCTCAATAAAAAATGTATTTATAAAGAAGATTGTGAAAATCACTAATAAATTATATTATAAAGAATATTACAATTTTACAATATAGCAGCATATTATTTTTTTTTATTAAAATAACATCAAATAAATAAATTTATTTTCATTTCAAAATATAATAATATAAATAAAAAATATTAAATCATATCATGTTTATTTGTTGATAATAATAAAATATTTACATTAAATATAAATAAAATAAATTATTTTACTAAAATAAATAAATAATAATTAATACTAAGCATCGATGCAGAATTTTGACTAATTTAATTTTAGCAGATTTATATAGGCTTAGCCGATTTTTAGGCTTAACCTAATTAGGCTTAGCCGATTTTTAGGCTTAGCCTAATTAGGCATAGCCGATTTTTAGGCTTAGCCTAATTAGGCTTAGGCGTAGTTTTTAGCCGATTACGCAACACTAATTACACATGTTATTAATATTTATTTTAACATATTGTCGTCAAAAAACTTTAAAAATAACGATTATGACAATTGTCACTTTTCATTGGTACATCTTCACTAAATTTATATTTACACATGTTATTAATACTTATTTTAACATACTTTCTTCAAAAAAATTCAAAATACTTATAAAAGAACGATTTCACATTAAAATATTATCCTTAAAAAGATCATATAAAATAACATCAAAAACGTTTCATGAAATCCATCTCATATAAATAGATAATTTTAAAAAAATGATAAAAAGATTTTACCTAAAAGATTGTTTAATTATCTAATAAAATTTACAATATAGTTCCTCAATAAAAGATGTATTTACAAAGGAGATTGTGAAAATCACTAATAAATTATATTAAAAAGAATATTACATTTTTACAATATAGCAGCATATTTTTTTTTTTAAAAAAAACATCAAATAAATAAATTTATTTTCATTTCAAAATATAATAATATAAATAAAAAATATTAAATCATATCATAATAATAAAATAAATTATTTTACTATAATAAATAAATAATAATTAATGCTAACATCGATGCAGAATTTTGACTAATTTATTTTAGCCAATTTTTAGGCTTAGTCGATTTTTAGGCCTAGCCGATTTTTAGGCTTAGCCGATTTTTAGGCTTTACCTAATTAGGCTTAGCCGATTTTTTGACCTAGAATCTCGGCTAAGCCGTTTTGTAGTCGGCTAAAATTAGCCGATTACGCAACACTACTAGGCATCGATGCAAAATTTTTGACTAATTTATTTTAGCCAATTTTTAGGCTTAGTCTAATTAGGTTTAGCTGATTTAGGCTTAGGCGATTTATTCATCTAAAATCTCGGCTAAGCCGTTTTATAGTCGGCTAAAATTAGCCGATTACGCAACACTAAATACGAGTATTAAAATTTATTATTCGTCGAATAACTTTTTATCCATTATTCGACCAAGTGATTCGTATAATTTATTCAAAATATACGTAAATATTTGACATTATTCATAAATATTTAAACTTATTCATAAATAGTTAAAATTATTTATAAATATTTAACACATTACTTTGTATATTTCGCATCGCATTTATTCTCTCGCTAAAACTAGAAATCGATCGCAAACTATATTAATGGTACTCTTAAAATGAAAAGCAAGGATCAGCAACGGAAGATCCTGAAGTGACCACTTTAATAACTCTTAAGTTTAATTTTAACGTTTAAAGAAAAATACCATCGATATTCATCTCTTAAAAATCACTTGAGGGTTCCCTGTGTTACGATAATAACCATTAAAAAAAATATACCATATTGTATCAATTACATAGGGAAAAATTGTTACTCTTGGATTCGGATGATTATGGGAAGGATATGATGAGCGTTCAAAATTTGAGGAAGAAGCATAAACGATTCGAAATGGAAACTACAAACCACGAGGCCAATATTCAAGTAAAATGCATTTTTAAAAAAGCCATAGAAATAGTCAGACATACCTTTTAATTTATAAGATAGCTTCTATGGTCATTTTAAAGTTATAGGTATCCGGACCTTATTAGCCCTTTATAAATAATAAAGAATCGTTATTCGAGTTTTCACTTTTGAAAAAACAAAACAGAGTCTGACCGAGCTCGCTTCTCAGATTAAAGCCGAGTGCCCAAATTACGGGGGTTCTGAAATAGATTCACGTCTCTCAGCCCTCGAATCCGCTTGGGAACGTCTCCGAACCACTATAGGGTCTCGCGGACGTGGGCTCGATGACAGCCTCACGTTTCAACAATTTAACACCGACGTGCAAGAGGAGACCGGCTGGATCAAGGAGAGCGTCCGCTTGGCCAACATCGAGGATTATGGACAAAATATGGCCTCCGTACAGGTTTTACACATTATGTTATTACGCTATTTAAACTCAAAAATCGAAGCAATTTTATTTATGATATGTTTAACTCCGCTTATGTCTATTTATAGAGTTTGTTGAAGAAGCATGACATTTTTAATGACGTTTTGGAAACGCACGTGAATCGTTGTCAGGCTATCGAAAATATCGGACAAGAACTGTCTAACGAAGTAGATTATTTTTGAAAAAATAATCCAAATATTCATTACTTTTATTCTTTTATTTTGGATTTTAATATGTCATTTATAAATCCCATATTGATATAAATTTAAAAAACAAATATCAGGTTGAAATATTTTTTGCGAGATAAGGAATTGTGTTTAAAAATCTCAATTTTTATATTTTTTTTCCGGAGGAATAAAAATGATTTGATTCAGAAAGAAAGGTTGTTAGAAGGGAACCAGGGTGAACCGATTCTTTATACCAAATAGCTAAAAAGGAGCCAATCCAACTATATAATTTTTTAATCAGGTTAAACTTCTTTGTTATATATATTAATTATAATTTGAGACCATATATTATGCGATAAGTAATATTTTCCTGTTGAGTTTTATATTATTTTTATGATGATAATTTTTTTTTCATGATAAAATAATTTTCATTTTATATATGGTTGCATATTTTATTTACAGTGATTGATTAAAATATATTTTATAATTTACTAATATCAAATCTTATTTAAATATTGTGGACTTGGAAGTGGAACACATATTAATTACCTTCTATTTTTTGATATATTTTAATTATTTATTAAATTTTGTTAGTGTGTGTATAATATTATTTTATCAATAAAATTAATTTACTTTTTCTCATATTTTTCTCTATTCTTTTCTAAGACAAATTAGATATAAATATTATAAAATTTGGAAACAAAACCTTTACAATTTTTCTAAACTTAACCAAACCATAACCTTTTTTGGCTTTCTCCCCCCCCCCTCCATCGGAACCGGAACTTATATAGATAATAGTAAGGATCACTGGTTTTTAGCTTTAAATACAAAAGTAAAGGAAGAATTGAATCGCGAAATGAAAACGTTGACGTCATAAGAATTCATATATATTTTATGAAATGATACCCATCTACCAAACTTATTTCCTGCAACATTTTTATCTTAAAAAAACACTTTGTTAATCACTAAATTTAACTTGGACATTTATCTACAGCGATGCGCCTAAAGGCTTAACACAAATATTTAGTTTTTTTTAAAAACATACATATATTATATCTGACGCATGATTATTAGAATATAGTTATTACATCCCCATTTTGAACCAAACAAAGTTGGGGATTATAATCTTTTACTCAACGATGCGAACCCGGCTAAATTTTTGTCCGGGTTCGGTTCGGGTTCGCTTTAAGATTTATAAAAAATAGGAGGGAATTCTCGGGTTTAAAAATTTTTGAATTGATAAAAAAAATATATATATATTTAAATCATAATTAAAAAAATAGACATAAATTTGGTATAAAAAATAAATATTTAATTTTATTTATAGGCAATACATAGCAAAAATATAAAGCATGATCATGTATCAATTTTTAAAATTTTATTTAGACGTATTAGCATAATATCTTCCAAGAGTTGTTCACTCATCTTCGATCTATGTGGTGAAAGAATAAATTTCAAATGTGAAAAAGATCTTTCAACCCTAACCTATATTAAATATATTTATGTGAGAATATGATAAATTAACTTGGGTTGCAGGAACAGCAAATAAGATTTTGAATAAAATATATAAATTAGGGTGCTCCAGCTTAGCAGACTTCTAAAAATGCAAAATATTTTCCTTCTTATCTACTCTTTTAAAATTGCGAAATCCAGTAATTATAGTTTCAATACTTTTCTCTGCAATTGTTGGTCCTTTAAATATTTTCTTCTGCCTTTATTTAAGTTGTAACAATTTCTCTAGATCATCTTCCTGTTCAATAACTTCATCGGAACTAATATCATCAGATAAAATTGGCGTTGTTATGCTTTTAATCCGACTCCATAAATTGAAAAGATGCCTTTTCGCACAAATCTTATCGTCATCACTAAGTAACACCTGTAATTTTTAAGGATTTATACTGTTTATATTTAAATAAATGACAATTCCATAAAATAACAATTTTAATATAAATCCAAAGTAATTAATTTACTAATCTTTTAATTAACCTTGTATCTTGGATTCAGGTATATGGCAGCTAAGAGAATTTCATTTTTGATAAACCTTTCTTCTCTTTCTTAAGACAATAATATAGTTTTTGAGAAAAATTATTTGAATTTTTTTCTAGTTATATGCATTATCTTAACTATTCTGCATAAAAATCTGTCAGTAATAACTGTTTTGGAATCGGTTGGTTATGATTTTTAGTGGTTTTAAAATTTCAACAATCGTTATTATCTCTTTCCTTCCAATCTTCAATCAATAAATAATCAAAATGTTCTAAAAAAAATCTTCAATATTGGGTTTGATTAAAATCAGCCTTTCTAGCATATCATGGGTTAATGCCATCGGTGGCAATTTAACACATTCTTAGGGAGTTTCATATTTTTTATTATTTGATAAGTGTGATGTCTTAATTTTAAATATAAGCTCTTAGCTTTTGCAAGAGCATCCACAATGGGTGATAATTTTATTGCATCTTGAAGTGTAAGCTGAAGTGTATGAGCTGCACAACGTACACCTTTAATCAGATAGGATAAAATAGTTGTATAAAAAGTATTCTGTATATCATCGATTTCATATTTATATACATTCACCATATTTTCATCATCTCCTGATTCACTCCTTATTTAATAATCAATTTCAGGCTGCAAGAGCTTTATAGCTTTGATAAAATTTGCACTATTGTCAGAAGTAATTGTTTATATTTGCAATACTAATTTTAAATTTTTGTAAAATTTTTAGTATATTCTCGTTTATATATTCTCCTGTACTTCTTTCTTTCAGCTTTACAATTCCAAGAGTTCTCAAAATTATGGACTTTGATATAAATTGAATATTTATACCAAGAATTTATTATCTTTGAACTGCATCAACTTTTAAACTTATTAGTTTTCTTTGTACCTCTCTTGAAATTTTGTCTCTAATAAATTAGGCTGTTCTATTATTAGTTCGGGATAAATTTTCTTTGTAAATAACTAGATTGAGGCCAGATAAAAGTGGATTTATGATTATTTGAAATCCCGAATCTTCAATAATTGATAGATGCCGACCATTTACAGTAACAAGTTCTATGTAGAACTTATCAAAAATCATTAGATGTTAAATTTATATATTTTTAAAAGGTTTCATTTTTGGGTTTTTTTGCAAATAACACTTCCTGATATTTAGTTTTTTCATTCAAATAATTTACATATTCATTGTTGTGATTTCTTTCCAGATGTCTCTCTAAATTTGACAAATGATTGCCAGACATTTTTAATTTGCAATATGAGCATACTGATTTATTTTCTATTATATTAAGAGTAAAATGCTTCAAATATGATTATATCTTTGATCTTAAATCTAAATAATAAAATGTATTGAGAAACATTTATTAAACTTTCAAATAAAAAAGTTAAATAATTTTTTTTAAATAGCAATGATTTAATAGAATTAAAAAACAGATGTATAAATTTAATTTCATATGATATGCACTTCATTAATATATGGTTAAAATTAATCTGACAAAAAATAAATGATTAGCATATATAAATTATAAAATGATTTTACAAAAACTGTCCTACATCTTTGTTTAACAATTTTTAAGTTAGATTTTGAGAATTCTTTAAATTAACAATATATATAATAATTTTTATTTTGACTTGTTCACTTGCATTTTCTTCTAATTAATAATCTTTGAGAATAGGTTAAGAATTAAAAAAAATGGCGTAAATTAATTTAATTATTTAAAATTTATTAACACTCAATAGGAATCTCTGAGAAGAAATTATAAAAATGACGTAAATGAACTAAGTTTACTTAATTGGAAATTTGAAAATATTATAAAATTTAAATTAAATTATTAATATTTGTATTTACAATTTAACAAATATCTTAATATATGATTTTAAACAATAAACTGAACCCGGGTTCAAATAAAATTCCCGGGTTCGGTTCGTGGTTTTAAAAATTTTATAAGCTGGGTTCAGGTTCGGTTTGGGTTCAGATTTTTTTTTCATAAACCCGGGTTTTCTTGTTCGGTTCGAACTCCTGCTTATACTTAAAAATTAATTCTAAAAAAGATGACAATTTTTCTTCACAAAAATTATTCATATTAGCAATAAAATAGAATTGAAATAGTTTTATAGTACGCAATTTTTTTTAAAATTAGCTTTCCTTAAAAACTGGAGATGTCCATAATTATAATTATGCTACATCTAATGAAAATTCATCTATTATAAATACATATTATTTATCACATGCGTACGAACAAAAGGGCAATATGCACGCCCAAGCTATACTGGAAAAGTGTCGAACCCTTAAAGACAAAATGGAAAACTTATCAACTGTCATTGGAACGCGTAGAAGCCGACTCGAAGAGAACCTTGCCTTTATGCAGTTCATGTGGAAGGCCGACCTAACTGAAAATTGGATAACCGATAAAGAGACATATGCCAAGAGCGAGGATTATGGTAATATTGTTTTATAAAGCGAAGAAAAAAAAGATTTTTTAATTTTAAAGATATCGACTGAGTTTCATTAGATCTTTTTAATTTTATAATATAAAAAACGTACCATACTACACAACCCTATTTTTAGGCCATGATCTCTCCTCTGTCGTCAGTCTGCTGGCGAAGCACGACCATTTTACTCGCAGCCTAAACTGTTTTGAGGATGAAGGCGCCTTGCGAGCTTTAAACCAACTTGAGACAGCTCTTTTGGCGGATCGGAATATCACTGTTGGTAGCGAGCAGGAGCGGTGGTTAGCGGACCGTGACGAGGTCATCCGCAAGCGATATAAAGAAGTGGTCGCCAACTGGGAGAGTTTGGTCAGGTCTGCTAAAGCCAGATCAGACCGGCTTAGGGAGGCCCAGGAAAGATACAAAAAGGTTAATTTTGCTTTTTTGAATGCTTGATGTCGCGAAATTATTTGCGCCTTAGAAAAATTTGAAAATTTTTAAGAAATAGATTATTTATAATAAAATATAAATGTATCCTGTGTAAAAAATTTCCTTCATTGAAAAAAATATGTATTAGGTTGAAGGATTAAACGTGTTATTCATTCTAGCGTTTGATGGGCGGTTTTTAGGCAATTTTTGAAAAATGAGCAGGTTTATTCAAACTGAGTACATATACACTTGTCATAAAATAAGCTGATTTATGTAAGGAAAGTACGAATAATTAACCTAAGGTCAAGAATAAACTTTTTCTAGAAAGATATAATAAAGTCAGAAATCTTATAATCCTGAATGAATGAATTCAAGTAATTTAATTAATTATTTTTTAGCAAAAATGCACATTATTTATCAAATCATAATGTTATAACACAAATTATCGAATCTACAATTTCGATTATCTATTAATGTATGAGTTATTTGAATGGTATATATATATATATTACACAAACTATCGAAACAAACCGATTACGACAGTATGTTTATAATGTTTTTCGGAATATTGATTTCCTGCCATTCCAAAAGTTGGTCTTAATCACCGTGTAACAATTTGTTCATACCTTAATGTCAACCATTTAGGATAAGTCAAAGATTTTTTTGAATCTCAAAATTTCGAATACAAACATTGCCAAGTAGGAATTAAAACCCTATCTGAATGGTTTATTCAGAAACCTGCAGAGATACCCTTTTACTGTCACGAATTTTCCATTATCCGGCTTGGTCCAGGATTTTAAATAAATGATTTAAAACCCATTAATCACTAATATTTCATTTTTGTAACATCAACTTTGGCTTTAGATATTTTTTTTGCTTTATGATTTATAAATTAAAGGGTGTGGCTGTCATACCATTTTTTCTTTCTAAAAATGTGATAATTTTATTTGGAATTTGTGTTAAATTTGTAAGCTTTTAAAATTTGCAAATCTTATGATTAATGTTTGAGCATAAAAAACTTTAAAAAAAATAGTTTGGATAGCGTTTTAATTCAAAAAATGTTTATATTCTAATAACACATTTGTTAAACTATAATTAAAATATTAGCATCTGAGGTATACCTTTCACAAAGATATTTTAAAAATATCTTTAAGTTTTGTCAAATAAATAAAGATATTTAAAATTTTTATTTTAATTATTTTTTCGATTTTTAAATTCCCTCATTTAAAGACAGCTTTACATGTATTATTAATCAAGATGAAGATGTAGGTTCCTATTTCATCTCCAAAATGTATAGAAATCGTCTTCATGAAATTAAACGATATTTACATCTAACCAACAATTTTGATATCGATAAAATTACTAAATCAGGAAGGTTATAGAATATTATTGGTCAAAATCTGCAATAATTTGGGATATTCAAAGAAAATTTAATGCTAAAAATAATTATTTTAAACTCTTAAATAGGGGTAATAATTACCCTTATAAATTTTCTGAATTCTTTTATATATTCTTTTACTTTTGATATTTATACCGGAAAGGATAACAATAAAACTGGTCCTCTTGGTGATCTGAGATAATTAACAGGTGTTATCTGTAACGTTCAAAAATATGAACCATTCTTAGATAATTTTTTTATTCCCAAATATTTCATAATGCTAGGAGATAGAGTTTAGGTTGTACAGGAACAACCTGCTTAAATCGAACCTAAAAAGCCGGTTTGATCGAAAACTAATGAAAAAAGTCCAAGAGGATTTTATGAAACCTTCAGTGATAAAAAGATTGCTTTGTATTATTGGAATGATAGTCGCTCAGTAGCAGTGGTGAGCAAGCATCATGGAATATGTCCTCTAAACAAATTCAAGCGACGGAGTTCTAAACCTAAGGTATATATTAATATCGATCAACCAAATATTATTACATCATGTCATATGGGAGGAAGTGATTTAATTGTATAGATTTTTAAGTGATTATCGTCCTCTACTGCGCAACAAAAAAAATGTAGTGATGCTTGATTTCTACTTTCTCAATTTATTTGATGTAGCCACTTGGAGGATAAATATTTCTTTGGGTAGGAATATGTCTCATCATCTATTCAGAATAATTATTGTGCGATCTATGATTGGAATTGAATTTGAAAGGCAATGCCTTCCAGGTCAATTAAAATGCCCAATTGATTCAAAAGTTAGAGAAAAGTCATATTCCAATTAAAGTCAATCGTCAAGGTGGTTGCAATTTTGAAATTTTGATATACAAATATATTTATACTAGGGCTGTGCTGATATATTAAATATCGGATCGGGCCGATACCTGTAAAAACCGATCCGATCTTTTTACTTTTCCTTCTTTTGTTATTTAATTTTATGTTATGTATATTTATTTTACATTATTATAATATTTTCTAAATAATTTTTTTAAATTTTATTTCTTATTAAAAATAGATTTATAGTATTTTAAAAGTTTTTTTTTATAAAAATAGAAAGGAACACCCAAAGTTTTATTTATTTTAAATCTTAAATATGGTATCTGAATTATGGAAATATTTTACAAAAGACAAAGATAATTTTGCAAAATGCGTTATCTGCGGAATCATCTGAGTCTGCCTTCAATACGGCAGGAGATATAGAAAGTCCATATCGTAGAAGCTTATTCCCAGAAAATCCGGAGGCTCTCATATTTATTAAAAAAATTTAATATATTATAATTTTATATATTAATTACAATTTTATAATTCATACCAACATAAAATGGATATATTATTAAATAAATATCTTTTTATTATAGTCTTAATTGTAGAAATAAAAAAATTAAATTAAATTCATAATTCGATTTTTTGCATAAAAAAATATTGATTTCTTAATTACATTTGGTTCAAACGTGGGTGATTAAAAATCAGTATAAATATCGGATCGGATTGAAGCAATATCGGAAAATATCGGATCGGAACGGTGAAAAATATATGGATCGGCACAGCCCTAATTTATACGAATATATTAAAAGAAAAATAAAGTTTTTTATATTTTTGTTACCTCGATATTTAGCGGGTTAATGACCTGCATGACTCTAGTTTTAGTTGCATTTACAATATGAGGCTATATGAAGCACTTGGGGGTAAGGTTGAGATATAAAAGGGAAATTAGAAATAATGGATTGCTAAGTTTGAAAAAACAACTGCTAAATCCATTTACATTTCTCTACGACGTTGTTTAACTAGTAATCTGATTGGAGGTATCAAATAACATGTGACATTTTTTTAAAACAAGTACCAATTTTTTGTGTTGATATCACTTTTTCAAATTTTTATAGATTTATCTATAATTTAATGATTTATTATTCTTGTACATTGACTCCGGTAAAAATTTTGTTTGAATAATCAATTTATTTTAATATTATAATTGGACGGATTGAGTTGATTGTTAGAAGTATACTATTCAAATACACCTCCCACTCCCTTATAATCTATTTATGTTTTATAAGATTAAAGTGTATTTTAATATTAAACACTTACACAGATTGAAGAACTATATTTAACGTTCGCCAAGAAGGCCTCGGCTTTCAATTCCTGGTACGAAAATGCGGAGGAAGATCTAACAGATCCCGTCAGATGTAACTCTGTCGAAGAGATCAAGGTATGATTTAGCTCTCATATTTTAATTTTTAAGAAATTAATATAAATAAGTATGGGGAAGAAGTTAATAAATTAAAAGCAACAAAGAAATTGGTGATTATCACAATAAGGTTCAAATTATAACATAAAACATAGCTCCTCAAGGAAAGCCATGCCAATTTCAAGGAACATCTTTCTGTCGCCAGGGAAGAGTTCGACGAACTCGTTGAATTAGATAGGTTGATTAAATCATTTCGAGTAGGGCCCAATCCTTATACTTGGTTTACCATCGAAGCCCTCACGGATACCTGGAACAATCTCCTTGCTATCATCGAGGTATTTTTAGTCAATAAAATATTGATATTATCTAACTTATTATTTTAGTTTAGACTAAAAGGCTTAGTAAAAAATTTTTTTTAATTTTAATTGTCAAATAAAACATTTTATTTAAATATCATATCTTCTATATTTTTGAACGAAAGTTTTAATTAATCAATAAATTTTATTATTATACTTGATTTTATATGATCCGTTTATCCTGAATTTTTTTTTGGTATAAATAAAAAGTCATTTTAATTTGGAAAAAAGGAAATCTCTTATTTATTTATCCCCCCCCCCCCAGTTTAATAAATATTATTTAACCCGTTACTGGTTAACGGTGCATATATGCACCACCTCCTATATACCTTATTTTAACATAGTAGTTTTTATTTTAAAAAATAATAAAAAAGATTGTACTTCAAAACTGGAAAAGAAAAATATGAAAAAAATATTTTTTTATGTCCCTAAGAAACCCTCAAACTTTGGGAATTTATGAGGTCTAAAATGCAAAATTTTCTAAGTGATCTCACAAGCATATTATAAAATTATTTCGATGAAAACTAGTGTGTATATATTCTTTATAGATATATCAATATTTATCAATCATTTTTGAATTTTTAGATAATTAAAATTTTAATAGGTAACCACATAAAGTTGACTGGTGCATATATGCACCATTAACCATCTAGCAGTATAAATTATTTAAAAAAATTCAAACAAATGAAATTTAACATAATGATTTATAATTTTTTATATTATACTTAAAACCACTACCGTCACTAAGGGTGGGGGGAGGAGGGGTGGGTGGCTCTAGCCCCCTAAGAATTTTTTTTTTTTAATTTTTTAAAATAATTTTAAATTTTTTTTTAGCCCCCTGAGATTAAATCGAATAATATATTGTTCCTATTATAATTTTTTATCCCGATCAAATTATATGAAATTATTAGGTTCATAAATATTCAAAAGTTTAAAATTATTTTTAGCCTCTTCCTTTCTAAAGATTTTATTTTATTTATATAAAATATTATGCACCTGTTTTGTTAATTCAATCAAAATTATCAAAATAATAGATGACTAATAAAAAAATCAAGATTCTACGAAAATAATTTGTCTAGATATTTAATTTTTAATAAATTTTTTTAATGAAACGTTTTCTAACAATTGAACAAGCGCTTGCTCAACTTTTTGAAGAGGAACCAATTGAAGAAAGAGATATGGTTATAATTCCGCCAAACCCCTCTGCAGTTAGTGATGAAGAAGATTTCGATGAAAATGACTTAACAAATGTCGGAGTTTTGCCTTCAGATACAGCTGGAGAATTGGAGATTCATAATTCAGTTGATGACGACCTTCCAGAACCATATTCTACAAGAAGCTATTCTCGAATTTCTCATAATTTAAAATGGAGAAAAACGGATGCAATATATTCTTCAAGCCCTTTCAATGGAGAAAAGGAAGATATAATAAAACTTGAAAATGATTTACATGGTAAAAGTCCATCAGATATATTTTCTTTAATTTTCGACAAAGACTTATATTCCCTAATTGTAGAACAAAGTAATATTTATGCTAAACAAATGAATAGACCTAACATATGCATAACCATCCAAGATATTCAGAGATTTATTGGAATTCTATTATTTACTGGATATCATTCTCTCCCACAAGAAAGAATGTACTGGATACAATGACCCAATTACAATTTTGAAATTTGAAATATAATATCCATTTGGCAGACAATACTAAAATAGATATACATGATAGATTTTATAAAGTTAGGCCTTACATTAATATATTGAATAATAAATTTCAGCAATTCGGAATTTTCAAACATCATTTATCAATAGATGAACAGATGATACCATATCGAGGAAGACATTCTTGCAAAATGTTCATAAAAGGAAAACCAATTAGATTCGGATACAAGTCTTGGATATTGGCTTCTTCCGACGGTTACGTATTCTCATTTGATATATATCAAGGAAAAAGCGAAAATAAATATGAATATGGATTAGGTGGAAATGTAATCATAAAATTATTAAAGGCATTGCAAAAACCAAATTATCATAATATATTTTGATAATTTCTTTACATCATTTAAACTCTTGTGTCATACTTAAAACAAATGGGATATTTTGCAACTGGAACTGTGAGGGACAATAGAATAGAGCATTGCCCAGTTGAATCTATAAAGGTTGTAACAAAAAAAGAAAGAGGATATTATGATTATAGGTTTGAAAAATTTAAACGAAATATTTGTAGTTCGTTGGAATGATAATTCGGTGGTGACTGTTGCATCGACATGCCACACCATCTCTTTGCTTTCTAATGTTTCAAGATATTCTAAGAAAATATCTTATAAAATAAAAATTCCTCAGCCAAATATGGTAACTGCTTATAACAAACACATGGGTGGAGTTGATCTATGTGATAATCTAATATCTACATATAGAATAAAAATAAGAGGGAAAAAATGGTGGTGGCCAATATTCACCAATTTTATTGATGTAGCTTTGGTAAATTCATGGAAAATCTGGAAATTCGTGAATCGAGATGACAAGAAGAGTTTGCTTGCATTTAGACGAGAAGTTACTAACTACCTCCTTCGAACGCTGGTAAAAATTGAAAAAAATTCAAGTACAGGTCACGCCAGCCAGTTTGCATTACAGTGTGAAAACCCTATTGATTCATCTGGACATTATTTATCCAAAATTATAGATGGAAAAAGACGAAGATGCAGATATTGCCATACGCACTCAAGATAAATGTGCCAAACATGTAAAATCACACTCCATATTAAATGTTTCAAGGATTTTCATAATATATAAACATTTTCTCGTTTTTATTATAAATTACAAAAAAAGAATATAGATATTTGTTGTTTTTTGATCTTATAGTATTTTATATAATTTTTATCTTTTTTAACCTCTTAATGGTTAACGGTGCATATATGCACCAAGCTAAATTTTCTATTTAGGATTTTTTTTGGCTGATTTTTTTAGAATATCATATTTGAGCATTAATCAATATAATTTGAAAAAATTGAGCATTTTTATCCACTAGAAAATATTGACCATTAATGGGAGTAAGATAATTTAATTAAAATATACCATGTTAACATTTGAATTTAATTTTTTTAAAATTATAAATGACATACTCAGAATTATAATTATCAAAAATGGGTAAATATTAAATATTGATAATTTAACAATTGTTTAATCTTTTAAAGAAAAAAAACATTAATTTAATAAAATGAATGCATGTTCCATTAATAACTCTTCCTTATGAGTTATTTTCTCCAGTATTGGTTTAAAATTATTTTAAATCAAAAAATGACGATTTTTGCCAACCCTAATATAAAATAGCCCTCTTTCAGTTAATATTTGGTTAGATCTTGCATATTTAAAATTATAAAATTAACCTTAACTATAAAAAATCTTTCTTTATAAACCTTAAGCTTTATTTTTTTTTATTAGAAATAGACATTCCATTATATAATATATATCGTGCTTATACAAGGAACGTCAATTGGCCCTAGACAAAGAAGAAACTCGCCAAATCGAAAATGACAAGCTTAGGCGTCAGTACGCTCATCACGCTAACGCTTTCCACACTTGGTTGGTCGAGAGGAGGTCAGCTTATTTTGATAATTTACTAAAACTACCTTAGTGCCTTTTTCGATAAAAATTTTACAGATATTACAGAGAGCTTCAATATAGCTAATCTTATTTGAGCTATTGAAGTAATGTGAGAATATTTGTCAGCCGAACTTTTTAAAAATAATTTTTTAATTACAAATAATATGGACTTGGAAACCTTTATAAATTTAAATAGGATATGGGTTGAGATAATTTTTGGATCAAAACCTAGAGTTCTGGTTCATAGCTTTGCAACATATTTTCTTAAATTTACATAGTGCTTTCCGTCAAATTAAGGGGAACGTGTTCATAGCCTTGGATAAAATTAGAAAATTGAATCCAATTTAATATATTGTTCGAGTTTGTGATCGGCCATTGATATTAATTGGATAATGATATTTCAACTATGACTATATATCCCATTATACTTTTAAAAAAATCTTAGGACTGCTATGATGGAATCAGCAGGCACACTGGAAGAGCAACTTGAGACCATAAAGGTATTTTTTTATCGAAGGATATCTTATTTATAAATTACATGCTTTTTATTTGTTGTATTTATAATATCCATCTTAGATATTTTCTCTGGGTAATTTTTGCATTTTATGACACTTTTTATCCTATATCTCATATATATCCCTTAATGAAGCACAATGCCCATTTAGTGAAAGAATACAAATCCCACTTGAGGCAAATTGAAGAGTTGGGTGCCCTATTGGAACAAAATCTTATATTTGATAACAGGTATTTTATTTGAAATTATTTTTTTACAAAATTTAAATCTATTTTTTTCTTAAAAATATTGTTAGTTTTAATTGTTATGATAATATCACAGTTGCATAAGCCTTTTTTAATGTGATAAGATTGCTTGAAAAAAGTTTAAATCTAACATGATATTTTTAAGGTACACCGAGCATAGCACCTTAAGTCTGGCACAAGAATGGGATCAACTCGATCATTTAGGAATGAGGCTTCAACACAATTTGGAGCAACAGATTCAAGCCAGGAACACTTGTGGTGTTAGTGAAGAGACTCTCAGAGAGTTCGGCATGATGTTCAAGTAATAATTCTTAATTACAAATTTCTATCTTATAGTTTTTGGGGAAAAATAGGAGTGGATGAAGATAGTAAGGTAAGTGGGAGGTAAAATGAAGAAAGTTAGGGGACCATTTTTTTTATCTTCCCCCTTCCCTACATAGTTTTTGTTTTTCATTAACACGAAAAACGAATGTTAGACATTTCGACAAGGATAAGAGTGGCAAGCTGGATCACAAAGAGTTCAAATCCTGTCTCCGAGCCTTGGGCTACGACCTACCCATGGTCGAGGAGGGCGAATACGACTCCGAGTTTGACAGTATTCTCAACGCCGTTGACCCCAATAGGTTATTAATATATCAATTGCTTGGTTATTATAATATTTCTTATACTATCCAAAATTTCGAATTCAGGGACGGCTACGTTTCATTGCAAGAATACATGGCCTTTATGATAGCCAAAGAATCCGAAAACGTTTCAAGCAATGACGAAATCATTGAAGCATTCAAAGCCCTCACTTCCGAAAACAAACCCTACATATTAGCAGACGAAATCAGATCGGTTTGTCTCGCTACAAATTATATAATTTTTGAAATTTAATAAAACAGAGTAGAGTTTTAAAAAATATTAATAAAGAAATATTGTATCATTAAACATTCATATGCATTCCTTTATATACTGATACATTTTATAATTGCTATAATTTAAAAAAAACCAGAATCTTAGACCAGACGAAGCCGAGTTCTGCCTTAAGAACATGAATATATACGTCGATCCTAAAAGTGGACGGGAGATAAGAGGGGCAGTTGACTACATTGATTTCACCCAAAAACTGTTTCAAATCTGAAACTTAAAATCATTTAGCTACATAATTTATAAAAAAAATTAATATTGTTTTTATTTATACTTATATATTATATTTACCAATGTTACAATATTGAGATATTTTATACTATTGCTTTTTTGCTACATTGCATTTTTATTGTTGAATTTTTTTTAAAACGTAGGTTGAATATTATATTTAAATTTAATACTTTTTACATTACATTTACTTAATTATTGCTTACATGCCCCTTTTATAGAGAATATATACCTGTAGCATCTAGCCTTTTATACAATTAGTTTTTTTTTAAATACAAAATTTACATATAGTTTTGTTAAATTCATATTTGTTACTATTTATATATGAAAGATAATAGATATGCAAAATATTAACTTCACATAGTTTGTAAGGATAACGTCTTACGAATGAAGATACACCGGTTTATATTACATTGAACCAAAAAAAAATTGTAAATTAAAAAAATTGATAGCTAGGTCTTTTCAGGTCTGATAGGGTGAACTAATGGGATTCAATCATTATTCTAAAACGATCATTTTAAGAATAATATAATTTTATTTATTAGTGATATTTCAACTTATAGTTGTGTTAATTTTTTTCTTGGGAAAATTATAATGTTGTTAAAGAGTCCGTTTCGGGTCAATATGTAAAAATGGCCCGATTAAGATTCTAAACAAATTAATACTATGTAAGCTTGGAGATTTTTCGCATAGATGGAATAAAATTTGGGCATCTATTTGCCAAATCTCGAGGCTTATATAATATAAAGCATGCACACAATTCATTTAGCATCAGACGTACGTTACATAATTTTTTTTTAGATTCTTTATAAAAATATATGTATTTTGATGATTGATTTATATATTATTATAAGTTGAAATGTTCCAATCCAAGAACCTTGAATTAGAACATTTTTTTTCTTCCGCTTTTTTTATAGTTCATTGTAAATTAGAGATGCTTTATTGTCCACTTGATTGGACTGGTTTCCAATTCTAGAAAATTTAAAAAATCTTGTAACACCCAAAAGGGGATATGGACAAGATATAAATTTTTGGTAAGCGGAAAATAATTCCCCGGAAAAAAATCCCCAATAATAATTATTAATAAATAATTCTCCGGAATTGATTTTCTCAAAATATTTATGTTTATTTGAGGATTTTTATTACGTGGATATATTTATAGGGAATTTTTTCTCCCATTTTATTTATTTTGTAATTTTTAATATCTTAAAAACGGGGATTTTTTTTCCGGTGAATTATTTTCTTAGATTCTAAATTTTTAAACCTATAAAACTTTGAATATTTTAAAAATAAGTGGTGTTTTTACTTTTTTAAAGATTATCCTAATTTTTAGGTGCTATTAATAAATACATAATGCTACCCTCCCTTTCAGTATAAAAACTTTATTGTGGCATATGCTCGGGGTTGCCTCGGTGATGAAACTGATAATATTTATGTTAACAATGATATTTTATAATTGTCGCAGTTCAATAAAATACTGCGAAGAGTAATATTTTTTAAATGTCAATCAAAATATTTTTTTTTCCTTTCCCTTCAGATCCCGTCGCTTCCTATCCCTTCTTTCCGATCCTGTTCCTACTGATCTCTTCCGATTTTGAATAAAGACTTTTGAGTTTTGGGAAATTTTCTTTGTTTTATTTTTATTTATACAAATATTTTATTGTTGACCGTGAAGACCAGGATCTGAATTATGATTAAGGTAAATATTTGAAAAGACAAAATTCTAGGACAGGGTTCTTAATAAATTATTATCATTAGGATATATAGGTAAAAAAATTTTTTTATATTTAATGTGTCGCAATTTTTTTTGTAAATATTTCTTGGAAAATCTGTAAAGTAATTTAAAATTTTGCAAGATAAAATTTTTGGATTAATTCGGTTGTATAAGGTAACAAAATTTTACAACAAATTTTAAAGTAAAGTGAATTTTTATATAATGCAATGGGCTATTTGCTTAATATTGAGCCTAGCCTATTTGATAAAATTTTCGGTTATAAGGATATTAGTTATCAAAGTATAAAAATCTTAATAAATTTGATATAAATAATTAGTGACAATATTATTATTGGTAATAATGGTAATAGGAAATAAACCCCATGGAAAAAAAATTTAAAAAAAATGAAAATCGTTATTTATTAAAACTTTTTTCTTAATTTATTATTTTCTTCCCATTTTTGCTTTAAGTCATTGTTAATCCTTATTTTTCTGACCTTTTCTCAATTTTTTTCTTCTCAATTTTTACTTAATTTTTTTAGTATAACCTAGCAATAATTAATATTGATAAATAATTTTATAAACGAATGCCACAATCAGTAATAGCTATTAAACTCAAAAAAAAACACAAAATACTTACGAAAAAATTTTCGAAGTAATAATGTCTAAATTTCAAGAACGGGATTTATTTCCTGATCCATTATATATATACATGGATTTCGAAAAGTCTTCTATGAGCGCGGTTAAAACTGTCATTGGTATGATTATTAATATGTTAAATAATTTATTTTTTCAATTGGGGGATCACATCATAATCAGAGGATGCTTTTACCATTTGTGTCAAAGTACCCATAGAAAAACTCAAAAGCTTTGTCTGGAAAGCCAATACAGAACCGATGAAGTCCTAAACTTTTTTTGTGGCATGATGCACGGCTTTTGTTCCTTTATGTGATGTGGGCAATGCAATGGCAAATCTAGATCGGTTACTCCGAGCAATGGTAAGGTTATTCTTGAATATTTCGATAAAAATAACATCAATGGAGTATCAGGGGAGGTTATAAGAAGCAATTCTCAATCCCAGACAGGTCGAATTGGGCCTATTTCCTCCAGAAACTTGAATCAGAGCACTCTTTTCAACGAATAACTCATAAATAATCAATGCGAAGGTTCGAATCATTGTTTTTCTAATCTGGTTGGGAATAAACACCCATCAATCTGGGTATTGATTAAAAAGATGAAATGCGAGGTGGCTGCCGATGAAACCAAACTTGAACGATGGCGTGTAGGTAGTTAGACACCGAAAACAAAATCGCAGTGTTTAAACAAGAAAAAATGCTGATGTTCAAATTGGTACTGGGAAAAAAATTAACCCATGTATTACTTATTTTCGTAAAAATTTTTGCTATAGTAATAAATACAATCAATTAGTGATCTGCATCGGGCCTAATTTTTCAAGCCCGGCCCGGCCCGAAATTTTTTTAAAAAAGTTTTGCCGGCCCGGCCCGAACCCGAGATTTTTTAAAAAAGTTTTGCCGGCCCAAACCCGAGATTTTTTTAAAAAAATTTACCGGCTTGGCCCGTTATTTAAATATAAAAAATTTTTATAATTACCAAAATAAAAGACATATGTTATATGTCGTTTAGTTTCAATAAATAAAATCAAATATTTTTATTTTACATAAAAAATTGATATATTTAAAAAAATTTCCAAGGTCCGGCCCGGCCCAAATTTTTTTAAAAAATTTTAGGCTCAGCCCGGCCCGAATCCGATTATTTTAAATAGAATTCACAATCAATATCCATCCTTAATTACTATATTAAGTAGACTAAATTTGACAAAATTTGCAATAAGACCTGTTTATTTTATTGATAAATCATTATTATGTATATAATTTATTATTAAATTATATTTTTATAATATTTTTTTAAAATACTAATCTGTCTATTCCTTATTAAATCCAAATAAAAATATACCGATATTCCGGAGGTTTTTTTCCCGGGGTTTTTTTCCGGGATTCGAATATATGGGTTATTTATTACATTGAAATTTTTACTAAAGAAATGTATCAATGTTGCGACAAAGGTATATAGTAATTTGAAGAAAGACACTTTGGTGTCAGACAATTATTGATTAATATGAGTAATCAGTGTGATAAAAATAATTAGGTGGTAAAATTGGTTCCAATGGGAAAAATTTTTTTCAAAGGATAAAACTATTGTTGAAATTGTGTATAACCGGTATCGTTGTAAGGGACATAAAACAGAAACCTGCATAGTAAAATAACCAAATTTTCAAATAGGTTTTCCGTTAAGAAAATCTGCATTAGAAAATTCTAATGTAAGGAAAATTAGGACCTCAATATAAATAAATTTGATGCATTACAATCAAATCAAGATGGGTCTCGTTTATGTTTTAAGTGTAAAAAATCAGGACATATAGCAATAAATTGTGACTTCAATGACTATAAGATAATGTAATAATATAGCAGTTAAAATATCGAAAAAACAAATATTTAAGAAAGTATATAATAATGGAAAAATGAGATATAAATAACTCATGAAAAGAATGATTTTAAATAGAAATTTTTTTAATCATAATGATAAAATTAAAATATGTTAGTTCTCATTATAATCCGAATAAAAGGATTGATAATGATTTTAAGTGGAAAAAATATCCTAAGGGTATTGTTAAATATCCAAATAAAAAGGATGTTAATAATTTTAAGTGGGAAAATATGTCAATATTATTAAAGAGCCTTTAAATTCCTAGTTGAATTTATGCAAAAATTTATATTCAAATGATATTGATATTTCAGATAGAATCAATAGTAATCAGCCTATAAACATGTAATGACTGAAAGAGAAATGAAACCATGTCAGTGTCCTAGGGTTAAATTAAGAATTGACCATAGATACATTGATATGCTGTACGATACCGAAGCGAGCATTTCTATAATGTTGAAAAGTATTATAAGTATTGGTCTGGGAGTCCACTCGAAAAGGAATTTATGTGTGTCATACAATTTGATAGGTCTGAGATTGTGGTTTTGGGTAAAACTAAATTGAGAGTGATTCTCAATGATATAACACTTTTCCTTGATTTATGAGTAGTAAAAAAAAATGTTGAAACTAATATGGGATGGGATTGAATTTACAAACTGGGTTCTCATAATAATAATTGGAATATTTTTACTATAAATAGTGATTTGACCAAGAAATGTTCAATTTATTGAAAAGGAAACATTAACAGTCATTTTTGGTTCAACCAAATGTCGGAAATATTTAATCAGGGCCGTAGCCACGGGAAGGGAAGGGGGGGCAGGCCCCCTCAAAAAGATTTTTAGCCCCCAAACCTGTCCGATAAAATCTCTGGCCTCCAAAAATTTTTCTGCCCCCCCCCCCCCCAAGTTGATAAATTTTTTAGAATTGATTATTTTTATATTTTTAAAATAAATTTTGAATATTTTTTCAAAAAACATGTCTAGTTTTTAAATTTCTTTCTATCCTGTTTTATTTAAATCATCATAAATCATCATTCATTCA